GTTCGTACGACTTTTGTTTGGTTTCGAAATGCGGTCTCCTGTGGGTCACCTACCCGAATCTTGGCTTTCGTGTGGAAAAACCGCCATTCGTTGGTAGTTATTTTAAATGTTTGGTCTTATGGTATATAATTTCGTTCGGTGCAAGGGGGCATGACCATCCACCCACCCGAACCATTCGTCAGCCACTGCTATTGTACACCTTGATGTCACGAGTTATTTTGTCGCCCGTTGGGGATCGGTTAACATTGACTGTCTTTCGGTGTTTCGCATCGCAGATTGGTCGTGTTCACCATTACTGGCCGTGCGTTGGCGGGGGCGAGGGACTAAAGTCACAACTGTCTGAAGCGTTCGGTCCGCCACATATGCTCCTCCCTTAGTCTCATGAGTGAGTGGGTCCACCAGGATAAATGGTTTGGTTCAGGTTTGTGCGAGGATTGAAATCCACGAATTCGATGTATGAGGAAGTATCCGGTTGCTTCACACGAATGGAATCCCCACAAAAAAGCAGAAGACGGTGGGGAATCAGGGTGATATATCAGACATTCNTAGGTGGACGGGTCACGCTGGTTGACTCGACGACCACAAAGGAAATCAGTCGAATCCTTCGGACACATGGTTCTTTGGTTCAATCAGTCGTCTTTGCTTCAACACTTCGTCGTCTGCGCCCTGGTGCAAATGCGGTGGGTGCGTATTTGAACGTCAAGGTCGTGATACTGTGGCATTCTCGTACTAAATATGTGAGGCTTCGGGTTTTGGACCCAGTATGTCGCTTCGTTCGGTAAAATGACGTGTTGATGTATCCTAGTAGACAATCTTTTATTATGGTTCGGCTGCTATCGATACTAGGGCTCTCATCTTCTGTGCTAGGAGAGATACGACGTGGTGGGATCAGATTAGATTCGCAATGCACTCGGCAGCCAAACTGCTTGTTGGTCCGGGACCAAAGTTCGCCGAATATACTGGATCTCGCGGGAGTCATTGAACTTGATAGATCAAATGCGAAAGATCCCAGTCTGCCAGGAGCAGCATGGGGACCGGCGGCGCCTGCAACCTTGACTCAAGAAAAGCGATAGCTGGTGAAATGGAGGTAGATTCTGTATCACGGAATAGTCAAACACTTTCACCTGATACGCAGTATCGCGGGTCGTGGCATAGCGGTCAGTGAGACCGTTCGCGTTAAAGTGAACAGGGTATCCATAATAAGGAACGACAATTTGATCGCTGAGCAAAATATAATGAACAGCTCAATTGGCCTAATTCGGTCGATCCAGCTATTGCGGCGGAAACCCCATTGATGGTGACATGCTAGCTCCGTCAGAATCGGAACTAGGAAGAACGTGAAGGCTGCGGGACCTGATGGGCTTCTCCAAATTCGGTTTGAGGCGAGCGGTGATTCTCTTGTTGAATCAAATACTAGCTTACTTCGCGACATTTGGACGGAGGGGCGAATCGTTGATCTTCAAGAAGGGATCACGCACCGGCTGCGCTAACTAGCGCTGAATTAGTTCATCTCCGATAATCAAAAAAGTGTTTACTTCTGTGATATTTTGTCGTCTGACACCCTTAAGGGAGAGGAATATCCGCTAACAGCAAGCCTGATTCCGACCAGGTCGCAGTTGCATCAACTAAATCTTCACTTAGCGCCAAGTCCTCAAATTGCGTCACACCATCGGCCAACGATCGCAGTGTTCCTTGCCCTAAAAGGAACCTTGAATTCAGCTGTCTGTGAGGCTCTTCTGGGGTCGCTCCTTCGCAAAAGAATAACGCAGAGGTACGTAAACCTTCGAATGTGTGGAGGATGCACAAGGCGCTCTTGACAGACTTTCAAGTTCGGTAGCTCTGGCATGCGCTTTGAAGTGATGCTGCCGGACGGCATCGTCTACCTCGGCGCTGATGCTTGATGGTTAAAAATGAGCTATACTGGAATGTTTCTTCTACTTAGATACCTGAGTTACAAATAACGGTAGCGTATCCAATGAAGTAACCGCATTCTTTAGGCTCGAGCAGCTTACACAGGACCGAAACGCCCTTGATGCAGACGTGGTGTTTCGTTGAAACTGAAAGGCCGTGTATAGTGCACCAGTGTGCGATCAGTGCTACTCTATCGTGAGACCCCAAATTTTCGCGTAGAAGGTATTCCTTGTGTAGAAGTTTTCAACGGCCGATATTTACGTAGTTTATGGCGGTTTGGATGTAGGGAACGTGTGATCAACCCCGAAGTAAAGCGCCCCGTAATTAGGTAATGATTCGATGGAGAATTCCTTATCTCATCGATTAGTCGGTTTCATTGGTTAGGACAGGTATTGCGCACGCCCAGCCCTCGTCTACCGCACCGCGTCTTATTCGCAGCTGCGGCTCCAGGTTGGAAGAAAACACAGATCAACAGATGACGTGGAACCGATGCACAGAGCGATTGGGTAGAATCGGTGTCTCCCGTCCTCCAGGTCGGGGTCCGGAAGACTGCAACTGGCTGACTGGAGACACTGAAGGATATGGCGACTAACCGACACCAATGTTGTTCTTTTCATTTCTTATCAGGTCTGAATACTTGATTGTGTATTCCTTGTTGACCTCCCTCCAATTAGTCTCAATCCCTCTCCCTCTTGCGCTTTATCACTTGATTTGTGTACATAGTGAGCTTAGGAGCGACCAGTGAAGTTCGCTTCACTGCATCTCGCTATACGATGATAATTTGGTGATTGCCACTGAACCACACCTTTCATTTATCCTTACTTGAAAAGCAAAAGGGTAATACGTGACTGGCAGATTGCTCTTCATACCTGAGTATTCGCGTCACTATTGACAGTAACCGCATGCATCTCCTAAACCCATGATGAGTACGCAGAACCGTAGCATACGCGGCTTTGTTATAACTTTTCCTTGAAGTTGAAACATGGTTCCACTGCGCGGTTAGTTCTGCCACACGGTTTTGGAACCCTGAGTCTGTGTGCGAAGATATTCATCGACTGAAAGTCTTCGGTCAGCGACTTCAGTGTAGTCTGGCGCTAATATGATAAAGCGAACAAATAACTAGCACTGAGACCAGTTGTATGTTCAATGTATGCTTCCGTGGAAAATTCGTTATCCGAAAGAATTCAGATTATTGGACTTCGTTGTGTAGGACATGTTGCGCACGCAATCATCTGCCGCAATGTGCCTTATTTACAATTGCTGCTCCAGAGCGGAGGACGTTACTTGGAGATGAAAACATGACGAGGCATAA